CATAAAAAGAATACAAAATCTCAATGTTCCGAGCCTTCCAGCGCTCTAAAAAGTCATTTCTACTCATTCCCTTTTATATACCCTGCTTGGGGACATAGCTTTCAACTATACTTACGGGTCTTTGCATGTTAACCTTTAGTCCCCTGAAAAATGTCTTAGAAGTCCTCACGGTAATAGACCGTGAGATGTCCCACAATAGAAAAGTCAAGGACGAAAATATAAAGAAATTGGCCAAATAAATAAATTAATAAGAGTGTTATGTGTTAACTTAGATATTTTTATTTGTGTTACTTAAAAAAAAAAAAAAAACTATTATTAAGTTAATCTGTGACCTTTGGGATTCGAACAAGTAAACTCTGAGGGGTGTTTTACACCTAATCGCCTAAAGCTAAATTGTTTGGGACTGATTGAGTTGAAAATTCGTTACATGGGTTCCGTAGAAAGTCATGAACTTAATAATAGCAAATAAAGCTAATCTGTGGCCTTTGAGGTTCGGGCAAGTAAACCCGAGGGATCTCTTTAAATCTAGCACACTAAGGTCATTTGATCTGGATGTGTTGGTTGGAAGCCCGTTACACGAATTTCAAAGAAAGCCATGAGCTTTATTTGTAAAAAAATGTAATTAGGAAGTTTGTATATAGTTGTGTTTATGGTTTAATTGAATATTATGTTTAGGAAAAATATTTTGGCTGCCAAAAGATTCCCTTGGACTTGGATTTGAACTTATGACATTGGGACTGAATGTTAATTACTTTGATTGGAGTAAGTGGTTTGAATCTTGTAACCAATTTGGGTAAATATTAAGGAATTTTTAGAAAAGATTTTTCAGAAAAAGATTGTTGTTGATCAACAAATAGCTGGAATCGGGCATTGTTATATTTTATGAAACAAAGATGGTTGAGCATGTTTTGTCACATATAATTTCACGAGAGTAAGACCATAATTTGTTCCAAGAATTGACTTGATGATATTGAAAGGGAATTAGTGTTGTGATCTTTGATTCTGTTGAGTTGTATTAGGGAGTGGCCAAAGTCTTATTTCTATTATCATATAATATTTTGAGACTAAAGCCAAGTTGACTCAAGGCATGACAGGTACATTCTCAACTATGGTACAAAACAGGGTAATTGGGTTGGATCTTTTCATGTTTGTTTTGATTTCATGCATTAAGTTTCAAATAGTTTTAACTTTAATTTTCTTTTCTTCTATTCTATTTTATTTTCTCTAGTTTAAATCTTCTTGCTCTTTCTTGAGGACAAGAAAGGTTCAAGTTTGGGGAGATTTGTTAGATGCATATTCATGCATTCATTTTGTAGTTTTAGTTCATAAAAGTGCATTGCATTTAGGTTTAAACTCATGCATTTTGCATATTTTTCGGGATTTTTCATGATGCAATTCCATTCACACACTTTTATGATATTTCAGGGACTTTTGAAGGTTGGATCTTGATGGAGGAAGTTAAAAAGAGTTGGAGACAAAGTTTCAGAAGTTTTGGAGCATTGAAGAGAGAGAGAATGAAGAAATGAAGATTTGAGCCTTTCAGACATTTACACGGCCGTGTAAATGATGGCTTATATTTTACACGGGCCGTGTAAACGCATATGCAAGAGCAATCTTCTTTTCTTGTTTACACGGTCGTGTAAATGGCACCCTTTAATTTACACGGGCCGTGTAAACGTCTCGATAGTTTTTAAAGTAGTTTTACTCTCATTTAATGGGGACAATCAGTTTTGTTGGAGGTGAGGTCGGATTTTGGACAGGGAGAAGGAGATTTTCAGAGCTTTTGGAAGTAGATTAACACTTGGAAAACACTTTAATTTCCTTTTTGTAAGTCAATTTGAAGTTTGAACTTGTTTGATTTGTAGTTTAACCTAGTCATGTGTGGTTGATTTCATTATCATTTCCGAATCTGAATTCTTAAGTATGTGTTGTTAGGTTGTAATTTGAACTTGATTTGTGTTTAACATCTAGTAATCTTTGATTTGATCTTAATCATGTGTTTGGTTAGTTCTCTTTTTCACTTGATCAATGAACTAGGGTTCTTATCAATCTAGTTAATCAAATTATGAAATTCGTATATGTTTTATGATTTGATGTTAGTAACACACACTTACTTGGTTGTAATTAGATCAAAATTAGTGCAATCAAAGATTAAATGTTTATATTCCCAAGCTTAAGAGGAATGTTAAACATTGTTGGTAATTAGTGCAAAAACTTAATGTCATTTAATGATTTGATGCAAGAACTTATTTGAATTGAATCAATTAAATGAAGTTTTATTTGAAGAGCTTGTTTTGAATAAAATACTTTTGCCAATTTGGATATTAGAGTTTATTAATATCTAACTTACCAACCTAGATTGAACATGAGTTATAATCATATTACATCTTTCAACATAATACATGTATAAGAGTCAGAATCGGAAATGTACTTCTTTTACTGCGTTTTGTTATCAATCTTTCTTATTTATGAAGTTTAATTCAAGTTCAAACACAATCCCCCATTTTAATATTATTTGTATTATGTGTGAAAATATGGCAAGATAAGAAGTCCTGTATTCCTGTGGACCGACCCTGCTTACTCTATACTATCTTTAGTATAAGAAATAGTAGTGACTTGAGCTTTATTAATATTATTTTATCCCATTATTTGTTGGTTTGACACGCCTAACACATTGACTATTACATCTTTATACTAATGCGTAGCCCAGAAACATAGACGTTACAATCCAACCATATGATATATTTTTGGCAAAATTTCATAAATGGTCCATGTGGGTTTTTTAGAATCTAAGATATAGTCCATTATTTTAAAAACCCTCAAGTCATCTCAAATGGGGTTTCATGAAGAGTCTAATGAGCTAAAAACTGGTGATGTGATATTGAATAGAGTAAAATTGCATTGAAACTAGAGTTTAATGTTCAACTTCAACCCCATTGAAACGTGTAATAGGATTTGTTTTTTTTTTCCTTTCTCAACTTAAATAACAATTTATGTTAATTTTTTTTCTTTCTCAATTTAATATAACTTTTTGGATATGAAAATACATTGAAAGAAAGAAAGATGAAAATTAAAGAAGAAAATGTAAAGAATGAAGAGATTTTAATCATTTTCATGGATCCTAGTATCATATTGGAAGATGGACGTGAAATTTGGAGAAACCGTTATGACGAGATTAAAATAAAATACAATATGAAGTAAAATTTATATTTTACATATTGTACTTTTTGTTTAATGTATTATTCATAAATTCTAATTTCTAAGTTGTAATATTTAATTAATATTTTTTTACGAAAGACAATCTTTAATTAATATTTAGTAATTATAACTTTGAATTTCTGATTAATGTAATATTTTAGTTTTATTTATTAATATTATTTATAAAAAATATAATAAAATGCTGATATGACAATCCATTGAATTCTTAAAAGTTTAATGGAGTATAAAATTTAACAGGTTAAATTGTATAATTAGTTGAAGTGACAATCCATTGAATTGTTAAGAGTTAAATGGATTGAAGATGACCTCATAGAAGGTCTATGTGGTTTTTCAATTTCTAATATAGTTGGTCCCTCATCCACCTAAAAAAAGGTTTTTATACAATTTTAATTTCTTTATTATTTTTTTTTGACTAATTTTACATTTAAAAAAAATTAAAAAAATAAAATAAAAAATAAAACCCCACCCTTTGTGTTTTTTTCTCTCGACAACCACAAATATTATACGTATTTAACTTTCTATCTCTTTGACTCCTCCCACCCACTGACTAAATATTCGATCTCTCTTAGGCTTGAGGGAGTGAGAGGCGCTAAACCTCGCCACCACCCTTGTTAAACAATTGTTACATCATCCCCATGAATCGTTAAGCTTGTCGCCAAGATTGCATCACCATGTGCTTGACGAGATGAAAGAGAAGATGTAAAGACCCACTTGACTATTTCATTGTTTAAGCTTTAAATAGTTGTTGCTTCAGCTTAACAACTTGTACATTTTTAATGTTTATTTTAATTAAATATTTAAACAAATATTTATTTGATTTAAGAAAAAAAAATGTTTAGCTTTTAAACACATCATCACTTCATATCATCAAACTATACTTATATGTCCATAAAAAATATGATGTGACAATGCTTTAGCACATACTACCACTCCTTGTAGCCTTATACCTATTTCTTTGATTAGCAAGAATCACCCCTTCTTCCTCCGACTGTCTTCCCCCCCCCCCCCCCCCCACCTTCACCATCGCTGAGAAGTTCCCCTTCCTCCCTCGCAGACCGCATGTGTGCGTTTTGAGTCGGGGACTGCCACACAATTTGCCACTAGAAAATTAAGATAACGAATTTAAATTTGATGTTATTTTTGCCAAAACTCAACAAGTCGAAAATGTTTGTCCGCTTCAACACGGTAAGCCTCTAGAGCATTCTCTAGCAAATATTTTCATTTTCACCATTTTCGGCTTCATTCATCACCTTACGAAACACATTGTTTAAAATGAGTTGCAAATGCGTTTGAATGTCTCCATGTGGAGAAGAGTTGATTTGTGTTTCGAGGAACATGGGATTGACAGTTTTATATTTCAGCGACTCTCCCCCAAAAACTACGTGCGTTGACGTTAATATTGATTGAGTCTTCTGTTACATCAACCCATGAACAAGCTAGTAACGTCTTTTTTTCAGGGACCAAACACGAGCCACACGAGCTATTAGCGATAAGGTTTTGAAGGAAATGGAAATAAGAAAGTTAAAAAAAATGAATTAAAAAGATTTGAATATGGTGAAGAATGAATAAGGATGATAATATTTATAATTTATGATTGAGGGTTTAAACTTTGAAATAAAAAAAAACGGTTATATTTTTGAAAATGAAGTTTTTTTTTGAAAATATGATATTTTTTAAAAATAAAAAATAGATTAAAAGGTAAAAGAAAAATCAATGCAAAAGCTTTCTCTCTCGTCGGTACAAATCTACCGAATTAGGTTGTCGAACCGTGGTCGCTGAGTATGTTCGCCTCAAACCCCACTCCTCTCCCGTCTTTAGAGCGATCGGTATGGGCCAAAACGAGAAACGACCAGGGTGACGTGGCCGTTCTCGACGCCGTCGTAACGGGGGGAACACCGCCCCCCCCCCCCCAACTCGTTGCATATTGTCGTCCGCTTCTCGTTGCCATGGAAACGAAGTGTAACGCAAAAAAAATATCCGTTGTGACTTTAGACTGTTTGAAAACGGTCAAATTCAAACCAAAAAAAAAAAATTACCTTTTTACCTATATATATATATATATATATATATATATATATATATACTCATTTTATTTCAAATTTTTTTAAACCTTTCTCTCATTCTCTCTATATCTTATACACATATTTTCTTAAAATTTCAAAAAATGGAGCAAAACCCAAACACCCCCCTCCATCATCAAACACAAACACAACCTCGCCTCTCGGATTTGCGGGGTATGAAAATTATTTCAACCTTTTATCGTCTCAAGGTTCACCACAAATCCCATACCAAGGCGCCGCTTTCAATACCGCTTCACCGCCACTGCAATTTCCCAACTCATTTTACCTTCAACAAAATCAATTTGGTCAAAACCCAAATTTACAACAAAATTTTTTCTCTACTTTTGGTTCGATGCAACAAACAACCAACCAACCATCACCTACAACACAACCATCAGTTAAAGTGGAAGCAGGATATAGTAAGAAAGGGAAAGGGAAAGGAAAATCGAAAGGGAAATCAATAGCGGTAGAAACAGAAAATGCAGACGTTCCACAATGGTGGACACCGGAGGAGGAATACGCTTTGACGGCGGCTTGGTGTGCTACTTCAAAAAACGAACTTCGCGGAAATGAAATGAAAAAAGGAGCTTATTGGGGGGCGGTGCTCGACAAGTTTCACGCTATTTTAAAGAAAAATCCATATCGCAACAATGACATGTTGAGCAGCAAATGGGGTATGATAACTAAGCGGTGCAGCAAATTCAACGGTATTTACAACCGACTTGAGGCGCAACAACAAAGCGGAACCAACGACTTCGATTTGTTCAAATCTGCTAAGGAACAATATCGGGTTGAAATGGGTCATGTTTTCGACTTTGAAAAATCATGGGAATTGTTGCGAGCGGATCCAAAGTGGAATAAAACACCTACATCGTCGGAGGTTCAATCCAAAAGGTCTCGCAATTCTAGCTCGGTTGACGTGTCAGACGCACGGACCAACATCGACCTAAACGCCGACGACGATGAGATCCCGAATGATATCCAAGAGATATCCCCACCACGACGACCGCCCGGACGCGACAAAGCGAGGCGCGCTGCAAGACATGCAGAGGAGGTGGAGACGAGAGCAAAAGAGGCGGCATAAATGAGAGCGAAATTCGACGAACACAATTTATTAATAAAAGAAAAAAATGAGTTGAAACGTCGTCATTTAGAGTTCCTGGAAAGGCAGGCACGGGAGAAACATGAGCAAAAAGAGAGGGAACTAATGACACATCAGTTGTCAATTCTTCGGACGAGCGAGAAGGGTTTGACGCCTGCTGATCTAGCAGTGCTACAAGTGATGAATGAACAAATTAGGAAGAAATATTTGGGTTAATTAGGATTGTTATGTGGTTTCAGTAGTAATTTGAATGATATTTTAGTTATAATATTAGGTTTAAAATTCTGTTTTTTTAATTGTAATCGTAATTTTAGATTTTAAATATTATGCATTTTTTTGTTTTTTAAAATTTTATGTTTTATAAAAAATATATTCATGTTAGTGATTAAAAAAAATACAAAAAGGAAAAAAAACGAAAAAGAAAAAAAAAAGTAAAAAAAACGAAAAAGAAAAAAAAACAATTTTGAAAAAATAAAAATAAAAAATAAAACATATTTATTTTCAAAAAAGTTGGTGTTGCATCTTGTTGCCCATTTCTCCACTTGGTGTTATGACACCACTTGTTTATGTGGCATATGAGGTGACACAACTTGGTGTTGCAAATTGTTGCCCACACCTAATACTTTTAGAGACCAAAATTACAAAAATCTGAAACCTGAGGGACTGATTTATAAAATCGAATTACAATGGCCGTCGATTTTGAAATAAATATCTTTAACAGACGTTGACATCTCATTAAGAATTTCTGCCGTCGGATACACCCACCACCGTCGATTGCTTGCCAAGTGTCATATCCAGTCCTCGTCAGATGGAGATCGCGATTATCTAGGCTTGTTCTTATCTTCAAACTTATCGTTCTCGTGTCCATTTTTCCCTTACCAAAGCGTCTCTTTCTCTGCAAATTGTTCTCAGGTACGTGTATTTTCTTCGATTTAGAATTCCTTTTGCATGAATATTTTGGTATAATTTGTATATTTCAATGCGTAGTTTCACTACACACGATTTGGTGCTCTTTTTGGATCTCTCTTTCAGTTCTTTATGAGAATTCGTTTGATTTTAGTTAGATCTACCATTCTTGTTAGTTTAAACTGGGATTAGTTTAATGTTTTGGTATTCCGTGCGCAAATTTCTTCAGATCTAACATAAAATTATAGACTATCGTGTATATTTTAGACTTGTGCATCGATTTTAGACCCGCGATATTGCCCCACATTGATAGAAAAAAATTAGCGATATCATATATTGGGTAACTTTAGAATATCATTATTCAAATTTGGATAACGAATGTACGATGCTAAAGGAATATTCGAAATTCGCCACATGAATTCCATGATTTTGTTTTTACTTCTGTTCTTGCACTCGTACAAGCATTCATGTACCCAAGAGTTCTTTTTTCTGGTTAGTCATCAAAACATGTAAAATGGATATGTATTTATAGAATTATTGCAACTCCATATGTTTTGTAACTTTCTGGAAATCCTATTAAACGATGTAATTGATTGGTATCCCAAAAAGATGAAAGGAAAAACATTCTGCATGAAGGTGATTGAGTATGTGAAACAATGAAACCGATTGTAACCTATCTTAATATTCAATATGGAATGTGAACAATTGCAAATCATTAGTTAGTTGATCCTAATTCCTTATTTTCTTCACTTTCCCTTGTAGTTCAAGAACTTCAAAAGGTGCACCTTTTCAAACGTATGTGCATATTAAACCCGTTTCATTACATCATTCATCATGAAGTACTTGGAATACACACCTTTCGACAGGTACTTTCTCATCTATATCCTCATATATTTTAATAAATCCCTTCAATTTTCTCATCTTTTTGGTTCTCCATTAAAAAATAATTTCATCTGAAATAGTCTTTCCTTCTTCTTCTGTAGAATAAATGCTTTTCTAGATCACCTCAACCTTGGAGAACGTACCCTTAAGGGATGCATTGAAGCTTACTCCTGTGAGTAGAATCTATATTTTCTAATAATTCACTAATTCTTATGTAAAAAACTTCAAATTTTGAAAATCCCATTTGCTTTTTGATAAATCAGGTAAACATACAGGCTCAGATAAACGACTTTCTCTCAGTTTGGAAAATGAGGTAGAATTGTAAAGTAGTTCAAATTCTTTTACAAAATTGTCTAAATTTTGTTTTCAAATTTGAATTCAGATTCTTGATTATCTTGGTAACTCACCTGATGCTGACTCACCAGCTGAGTATCTTTCTAGTAGATCCAGGTGAGAATGAGATGATGCAATCTTTACCCAGGGTTAAGTTAACTTAACTATTGGTGTAGTTAGATTAGAATGAGATTTCAATCTGATTATTTTGGTTTTGTTTTGTTTGATATTTTTTAAAACAGCCGAAAGATGTTGATCTATCTGATTCTGACATTATACCACATGTATCCAGACTATGACTTCAGGTAATATAAGTTTAACTCTAGTTAATAATTAATAAAGAAAGGAGGATTATGGGTAATGACATGTCAGCTTTTGATTGGCGACATGGCAACCCACTACATAATCCTCCTTCTTCAATGGCATTTGGAAGTGTTGTCAAATGGTTTGACAGGCAGTTTAGATACTGTTGCTTTGCTGAGAGTTCAATTCTCTCCATTTCCCAAAAACTAATCATCACTTGCTAATAATAATAATAATTATATAATAATAATAATAATAATAAACAGAGCCAAGGAAATGCTAATAATTATTCATATCATCTTGTTATTCCACTTCCATCAGTGCAGTGAAAGCTCACCAGTTTTTCACAGAGGAAACCTGGGATGGTTTCAAGCAAATTTTTGACAGCTACATGTCTGATGCATCTAAGGTATTATTATTAAAATGATGTTTATACCCTTACAACATGTATATGTAGTTTTTATTTGTACATGGTTTGGTAATTTAGGGTTTTGTTTGTTTAATTCGTGCAATTTACCCAATGGTTTATAAATTTAGTTTTTTGTTTTATGTAAGGGTATAAAGGTCATTTTACTCATCTAGACAGTTTACTTTATTCAGCCAAAAGAAAAAAAAAACACCTTGGTTTAGTCTTGGATATAATTTTGTGGTTTCAGGAATGGAAAGAGGCAAATGAAGATGGGTCCCTTCTAGAAACCCTATACAAAGCTCTAGACGAGGTACTAAATTACAAAACTACCCCTCTCCCCTCATTCTCATACCTCAATGTTGATTTCTAAATTTCAAAATTTCAGGTAATCAACCTTTCAGAATGTGAAGTTTACAGCTATGATCCTAACTCAGATGCTGACCCATTCATAGAAAAAGGAGCTCTGTAAGACAATTATTTTATTTATTTATTTATTTATTTATTTGGTTTTCACTTTTTAATAAATTTCTAATTTTATATTTGTGTTTTTGTAGGTGGTCATACAATTTCTTTTTCTACAATAGGAAGCTCAAGCGGGTTGTGTGCTTTCATTTCAGCAGTTTAAGGTAGTAATAAACTAATAATCTTTCATATATATATATATATATATATATATATATATATATATATATATATATATATATATTAATTGAAAAAAAGGTTGATTAAATAAATGTATATATTTATTTCAGCAATTTGGTGAGTGATGGATTTGGGTTTGATGGTTCATACTATGAGGAAGATGGTGAGATATTTGATGATATGGATATGTGAGGTGGAAAATGAGTGTACATATACCATGTTAATATTTGGTCTAGGATTTTAAATATATTGGTAGTGTGTACAAAAACAGTAGAACTGACTCGACTGTTTGTTGTTGGCTTACTTACTCGTAGGTTTTTATAAAAAGTTCAACATCTTGTTATTGAACAAATTTAATATGTTCCATTTTTTATTCTTGTGTTTATGTATGATTCTTTTGAGTTGTGGTTTGAGAAGTGGTGCAAGTGTTTGATTCTTTTGTATTTTTTGATTTTAATGTATGGTTTGAGTTTATATTTTGGATTTGAACTCAACGTTCCAATAGTGCTTTAATACAAAGAAAAAACAATGTTATCGATTGGAAGAAAAGAAGTGGAATGTTTGAGAACTTGTAATCACTTGAAAAATTAGTAAAGAAAGTATATGCTAAGGAGTAGGTTAGTATGATGCAAAAAGAATACAACCAAACGAAATACAATACAAGATTAAAATACAAAGAAAGAATGCAACCACAAGTGAACACAAATATTTAAGCGATTCGAACTCTACGTCAAAGTCCTCTATTGACTTCAATCCACTAAAAAAATACGAGTATTAGTGTATACCTTATAGGTGTGTTAGGATCTTATATATCTCTATACATGGTGAAGTCACCTCTCTTTTTATTAAAATCTTTCTATAAAAGCTCTTTCGGAGATGAATGACGAGAGACAATCACGGAGTCATATGATGTAATAAATGTACGCCCTAAAAATGCATTACAAGATTAAAATCTAAAAATGCATTACAAGATTAAAATGTAAAGAAAGAGAAAAATATCACAAATGAACGTAAGTATTTAAGTGATTCAGACACTAACTCAAAAGCTATTGTAGCTACTTCAATCCACTAAAAAAATACGAGTCCCTTAATGGCACAACACAATTCTGTTGGTCAAAATGTGGATCTCATTTCTTCTCACACAATACAACAATTACACTTGCTTTTAACGTTGAAGGACGTTCGACCATACAACCAGAACCTAAGTTCTAGGTACTTTGTGTGAGATGATCGTTAAGTGTATCTCAAAGATGTTTAAGTTTCTCAAAGCTTACATAGAAAGATGTAAAAGGTTAGGGTTTTAAGAAGGTTACAAAAAGAAAACTAATAATGAGATTATATAAATTATAGGGTAAATAACATGAAAAACACTAAGTTTACATCAAAATTCTAATTTGACACTGTGTTTTTTTAGCATCAAATTTGACACTGTGTTTTCCAATTTTGACCACTTGACCAGGTTACCTGTTGACGTGACATGATGACATGTTAGTTTTTGATGACGTGACATGCTGACGTGTCAAAATTTCTTTTTTTTCCCCACAAAAGACGTTAAGTTTTCATTTTTTCTTTTTTCAAATTTGACCCTAAGTTTAATTTTTTGTTTTCTTTCAGTTTTGACACTTTGTTTTTTTTATTCCAAATCGAACATTATTTTTTCCAATTTTGGTTCAATGTTGAGCATTAATCCATTTGAAACCGTATAAATTTTTTTTAGTACATTTCAAACCGTATAAATACTTTTTTTTTTACATTCAAACCATAATTTTATGTATAAATATGTATTAGTTATATAAAAACTGTATTTTATATTAAATACACAACTTTAAAATAAGTTTGAAGGTTTGGAGACATGTAGTCGATCAAGATCTAGAGGTCAGGTTTGCAAACCATAATTTTTACATCTTATCCGAAACTTATGGTTAGTTTGGTTCTCATGATATAACTAATGCATATTTATGCATAACATTATGCTTTGAATGTAAAAAAAAAATTTATATGTGTACAAAAATGTGGTTTTTAAACGAAAAAAAATGTATTTATACGGTTTAAAATGTAATAAAAAAATATATTTATATGATTTCAAATGGAAAATGGTCAAACATTTAACAAAATTTGAAAAAATGATGTTCGATTTGGAACAAAAAAACGGAGTGTCAAAATTGAAAGAAAACATTAAACTCAATGTCAAAATCGAAAAAAGTGAAAACTTAGTGTCTTTTGAAGGGAAAAAAATCAATTTTGACACGTCAGCATGTCATGCCAGCATGCCACATCATCAAAACTGACACGTCCTCATGCCACGTCAGCAGGTAACCGGTTTGACCGGTTAAGTGGTCAGAATTGTAAAAAATTAGAAAACACAATGTCAATTTTGATACAAAAAAAAAAACAGTATCAAATTAGAATTTTAGTGTAAAGTTAGTGTCTTTTATGCAATTTACCCTAAATTATAACTTTTTATCTTGATCTAAAAATTGGATTAAAGGGCAAATTAACAACCAATATAACCATACTACATAAGATGTTTTATAAAAGACATTCCGGAAAGACGTATAGTTGACACGCTTCCCAAGTCAAAGACATATTTATCCATGAAAGTCCGAATTGTCTTTTCATCACTTAAATAACTGAATCTTCATAAGATTTGATCAAAATATACATAAATGTATTTCACATAAATAAATAAGTTTTCCGATCACAATATGATTTTGGGTTCAAAATATATTATAGAAAAAAACACTTGTACCAATATTCTATCCTTCTTTGATGATGACAACGGTGACGTTTTGAATGGAGATAGATGGAAATACATAATCGGATATGATGACAACGGTGGCGTTTGGTAGAAAAAATCAGGACCTATGCTCCTCCTCATATGATGCACCATAAGAGAGGGTACGAGCTTAAGAAAATATACTTAGTGGATACATAAACTAAAACCAAGTAGTTGAATATAACACATATATGGATGTCAGATTTAAACAAATTACGAGAAGTTTGATTGGGTATGAGTTATGATCCAAACTCTCAATTATAAGAGAGTCTAGTTTAATGTTTCCTTGGTGGAAGCAAACCAAGTATTTACATACACTTTGAATTACCCAATTATGCACCTTGGAAATGAAAAGACTTCAAATTTGTTTTGAAAAAAAAGGTTTTAGGATTATGTTCTATCATGCCCGAACATGATATTAATTTGCAAAAAACTTTACTGTCAGGGCCGATCAATTCTAGGTAGAGGAAACAGAAAAGACCTTTCAAAGACATAAGTATAGCCAAATAGTTTATAAAAACCAACTAATTTAAAGAAGAATACTTCTTCTAACTTTTTTAGATGTAAAATCATTAATAATGGTATCAACTAATTCATACCTTGTTGCTTTATTGCTTCATAAACCGTTAGTTCACAAATCGTTGATTCAGTTTCTCCCATTTTTGTTGCACATATCCACCTTCTTTTTGAACAACAATAAGTATGTGTAAGCTATTGCTCCTTCTTGCTTCCAATAATTTATCAAATTTAGGCCTTTGAATTTGACCCTTTTCTAAAAAATAGATAATGATTATATATTATTACATATCCCATAATTTTTTTGGGCCCCTTGGAACAATGGGTCATGGGTGGTCATCCTATTGGTCACCGTTTGGGTCGGGTATGTTTACTGTTCAAATGCTTCATAAGAACGTTGACTAAGTTTTCGATCGAACCAAATTTTTCAATAACAATATGAAATTCGGAAACCTTACCATGATGAAACTGATGATGATGTAACTATGTGTTTAATGCATGAATGCGAGATGAGAATTTTGATTTTTTTGAATGGTGGAGATATAAGTCAACACTTGTCACCATTGATGTGAGTAGGAATATAAGTTGGAAGAAAAGGTAGCAAGATATTTAATTTCTTATAAAAATAGTGAATTGATGATTATACCCCCATATTAAATTCTAGATATTGAATATATATCCATGTTTACTGGAAACTCTAAACGACTCACAAATAAATGAACTCGTCTTCCTCATTCGGCGCTGCTTCTTCGGCCGTCAATGCATCTTCATGTTGGAACATGTTGGAACCGCTCTTTAAATTTCCCTCCAAAATGCTTGATTTTAGAACAGTTAATCATGTTCTTCCACAAGCTTTCAGAAACCAAAAGCATTTAGGTTAGCAACTAGTGTAGATGAAGAAAAACAAGTGGTGTATCTTTCATCTCCAATAATATGAAACCTTAATTTCGATTATGGGTTCAATCAACATGTGGTGCGTCAAAGGGATTTATGTTTCAAGCTGTCTTGAAATTTGATTTTGGAAGAAGATGCGACGTGTGAACCCGTTGAGTGTTTTTATTTCCTTATTTTTATTAGTTTATTTTATTTCCTTATTTTTATTAGTTTATTTTAGTATTTTTAGCTCTTTTTATCATTATTGCATTGTATTTTATTTATTTTCTTTATTATGGATCATACCGGGGACTTTTTATGTTGCATGAGGTATTTTGTAGGGTTTTGGAGCTTGTTGCGGTTGTGGATTAGCTTGGAATGGGCCTTGTGTGCTTCCGAGGCATTATTGGGCTTTGCGGATCCATTAAAGGAGATTGGGCTTAAAAAGCTAAAGACTTGGATGAAGTGGGCTTGTAAAGATGGGTCATGGATTATTGATTTGGGCTTGGAGTATCCATATTTGAGCTAGAAGATGATTGGTTAATTTGAATCATGTGAGATATGGAGGGGACCAAGGGAATCTTTGGTAGTGGGATGGTTAGTGGAGGAAAAATGAGCCAATAGCATTCCAACAGCACTTGTGCGGGTGGAATCTCCGGCGCGTGGGTACCCGCGCAACTGCCCAGTTTTTGGCATTTTGGTCATTTGGCTTGCCATTACCTTGGGGGATTGGATCTATCAGCTATGACTTCGATTTTACACCATTGGAGACCAGAAGAAGGCGATTTTGGAGCTTAAGACTCATTTCTTTTCATCTTTCCAAGTTATTGGTAGTCTCTTTATGCAATTAGACTTTTGTGATTGTTATTCTATTGCCATGAGTGGCTAAACTCTCTATTTTGGTTAACTTTGGCTAAAACCTTTGAATGTTTGTGGGTTTTTTAAAGGATTCATGCTTATTTATCATTTATCTTATGTTTATGATTCTAGTTCATATTTCTTATGCATGTTTAATACTTTGATCATGAGCTTGGTACTTGAATGAGCAATTATTGGTTTATTTCTTTGGTTTAGCATTGAACCATTGAATTTACTTAGAACAAGAGCTTTATGATGGTAGAAATCATCTCTAGCTTATGAATCATAGCTCCTTTATGGATGTGTAAGCATTGACATCCTCTAGGAATTGGGGATTCCTTCATTCTTAAGGCTAATCAACTTCTTGGGTTCAATTGCTTCAATTGGATC